AGGACGGTAGACGTAGGGGTAAGGGAAGGCGTCCGTATTTCTAGAGAGAGAGAGAGAGAGAATTTTGGGTGCAGATTTGATACGGTCATTGTTCTTAATCTGCTCCTTCTTCATTTTTTTCATTGTTTATTATTAATCTCCATGTTTATTGATATTCCTTATTCTTTATTAATCTTCATTTCCCTTTATTACTTTCAATTTTAATCTCCGAGCTATGATTTTTTTGCATAATATCATAAATGCCTGTCACGTGCTTGCCGATATGGCCAAGTGATCATTAGGTGCCTCATGTGTAAGTGTTTTTTATTGGGTCATGTCTTGTTTGTATTGAATGATGTATTGGTACATCACTAGGTTATGTATTTGTGCCATTAATCTACCAATGATTTGTGAATCTTTATGATTGATCACTTGATCTATCAAGTGCTTATCCTAGCTGATGTCTTGGATGACCTCATGTTTGATATAGTTTGCATGCAATTTCTAGATTGAGATCTCTTTAAGGTTATCTCCATCTTCTTTCTTAACAATAAATAGTTTGATGAAATGGGGAGAGGGAGAAAACTTTTCGCAAATTTACGATCTTCACCATCCATGCATGGGTTTTAATGGAAAAATCTCAACCAAAAGATAAGTTTTAGCATCTAAAGAATGAGTTTCATAATTTAGCAAACAGGTAAAATTGCTAGCAGCAGATTTCCTCGGTTTCACAGACAGGTTGTCAAGGGTTCTCAACTTCTAGCCACCGATTTTCTACTTCTACCTTTTCCTCAGGCACCCAATTTCTTAAAGATTCTCTAGGAGTGGTGTAAATACGCCCTTTTTTTACTTTTATAAATAGGGTTGTTTTTCTGCTTAATTTATTTCTTCCTGAGCAAGTGGGTGCATTGTTTTCCATTTGCGCATTAAACCCATTTTTGGATTTGTAAATTGGGTTACCAATAAAAGAAAAGTAGTCTATTTTTTTTTTTTTTAGATTGTGAATTGGCTTCTTCTTTAGCCCCACCCCCCACCCCACAAACTTTCCTGTAAGTGTTGTCTAAAGCCATTTGATTCTATGATTTGGGTTTTCATTTTGCTTGATCAATTTCTTTGGAAACCAGTGTGTGCCTGGTCTGAAATTGTTCTGATTTGCTTGAACCAGAATTGCCTACTTTGAGAGACATGGGGCCTTTGAATATATGGTGCCCAATAAATTTCTATAGGAATTGCTTAAATATCACGGAGCTTTTGTGAGTGGAAGCATCAATTCCAGATCAAGAATAAGCTTCTATGGCTATTTCATAGTCGTGCTGTGCATGGTCATACTTTTTTGTTGTTCATAATAAAGTTCCAAGTAAAAAAATATCCTGCTTGAATTTATATTGAGGTTTCTATGGTATAGATACTACTGGAAAGGGAAAAATGTACCATCATTTTGTTTAGGAGGTTTACACAGGAATAAATGCAAAAACTGTTTGTTTGGGTTCTGACTGCAATTTTCATGGTTTATGTAACCCATTTTTTATATTGAAAGATATATTTCTTCATCACCATCATGGATTTTGCTGTGTGTTCTATTTGAAGTCTGTGGATTCTTTTACCAGTAACTGATGTTATTCTACATGTCCCTGTTGACTGGTATCTGTAAGACATTATAAATTTGCATTACCCGATTTCTTCATTGTCATACCTTCACTTTTGAAATTTACTCAAGTCTTGATGTGTATTCTTTGTTTCTAAGGTCGCGTTTAAACAATTGATTGAAGTTGGACTAGTTTCTCTGGAGATTTGCCAGATATGTCGCAATCTGGGGAAACATGTAAAGAGGGAAACATAGCATTTAAATGGGGAAAAAAGAGAGGAGTTGGAGGGAAGCAACAGGAAGTTCAGTTCTACGAGTCCTTCAGTTATGATGGTGTGGATTACCATCTCTATGACTGCGTATATCTCTACAAGGAACGTGAACCGGAGCCCTACATCGGTAAACTTATCAAGATATGGGAACAACGAGTTCAGAAGGTGAAGAAAATTAAGGTCCTCTGGTTTTTCCGCGCTGTTGAAATCCTTAATTGGCTGGACAGTGATGGAGCTATGGAGAACGAGTTATTTTTGGCGTCTGGTGAAGGTCCTGGTCTTGCCAATATAAATCCTCTGGTACGGTATAATAAGCTTTTTTCTTTGATGAGATGGACATTTTGTGGTAGTCTGTGATTTTGTAATTTCTTCGATAAATTGTTTACTAATTAGAATTTCATTGATTATAAGGGATGTATAAATCATCTTTCCTCATAGTGAAGTATGGTTCTGCCCTTTTCATGTTTTCCTTTTATCAAGCAATCGGTATTAATGTTTCCTTGGGTTTCATCAGTGGCTTCTTTGCATTTGATTCACAGCAGATTGAATATGTTGGTTTCATTAACAAAATGTTTCATGTAGTTGTATGCCATGTTAGATACATTTTTCTATTGCACCATTTTAGTAAATTCTGTGCGTGATATTCTTTTTCCTCAGAAGAAGACTCCTTTAATTGCATTTGATGTTTAAAACTCGGTGATTCTCATTTGATGCTTACAACCTCGATTCATCGGAACAAACTGAATTCCACCCACGTTTCTAAACAATCGAATATATCCTCTTTGCAAAATCCGCACTTTCCTTGATTGGTTTAACTTCTTTTCTTTTGAAGAACAAAAAATTCTCACAAATGGGTTCATCTGAAACCATATGTTCTCTCTCTAAAGAACAGGGTAACCCCAAGTTTCTGATTGATTTATACTTTGCAAAGCTCTTTCTCGTAGTAAAATTAAGTCGCTCGAAGGTATGACTGAAAAAAAAAAGCCCCCTTTCTCTTTCCCATTTTTCAACCTATTATTTTGTGATCCCCCTGTCCTCACCTTCTACTTCTCCGTTCTCACAGTAACCACATCTCCCTTTCTCTCTCCCCATCAATGACAGCCCTAGGCGGCATCTTTGTAGGGCCAAGGCTCTTTCTTTCTCTACAAAAGGCGAGCCTTTTCTCTCATACCACACCCATGGGAAACCCTTTCTCTTCATGAATAAGGAGAATAGGTTGCATGTATTGTATGGAAGCAAATTTTTTACTGCTGTAAGGGATACAGGAAAAACTTTTGGATTGGCTATAGAATTTGGGAAGGGTAGAATGCGACTTTGCTTTTAGTATGTTCACTCCATCCAAACAGTCCAGCATAATAATAATAAAAAGATAGCAATATTTCTTAATTAAGGAAGAAAAAACTTACGATTTCTTTCAAAGTGAAGATTTTTTTATTTGACATCCAAACTGGCCGTTAAACATTAATTGTGTCTTAGTGCAAGAATTGATTAGGTCTTATTGCATAATGCATCCCTTTTGCATCAAAAGAAAATTCTTTGCTACAAATTTGACCTTCTTCTTGGGAACACTTTTCACCTTTCAATGCTGCAATAGTCTATGCTTTATAATGAGAACCCATTACATGCACCCTTATCTTTGAACAAAGAGATTACAACAAAGTGGGAGCTTGAAAATATTAGTGTTGTTGATAAAAATATGATTTGTGGTTCCTCTAGCCTTGAGGTTTTGATCTTTGGCTTGTTTGATTTTGAAGGACAATGAAAAAATGGCATCTACTATGTCGACTTGGTGATTTTGAATAAAATAGAGTCACTACCAAAAAAAAAAAGCCAGAAGACAGTCTTAACTTGATTCGTTATGGGTGGTGTTGGTTTCCCTTTCTATGACCATATCAACCTTTTCGTAAAGATATCTATGGGATTTTTTGAGGACCCAAAGAATGATGTTTCTCCTTATATAAATGAGAGAACGGGACTCGTGGATGTTACTTTAAGTCTCATACTAGTAGTCGAAGGGCTCAGCTAGCAGGAATTGGTGGTTATTGGTTGTTGGAGCTTGATGAGCCTATGTTGGAAGATGAATTCGTCAGAGAAATGCAACTGTTGGAAATGATTCTAGGATAATGAGCTGGTCCTGAAAACAAAAGCATATAAGGTGTAATGTGACCGTTTAGTTGGAATGTGACCGTTTAGTTGGAGATGTTATTGACACTGTCACCTGTGAGATTGGAAATCTTTTTGCCCATTAGGGAAAGAAGGCCAATGAAATTGTGGGGAAAATATTAAAAGAGGGAAATGCTGATGCAAAGAGAGACTGAGGATCTGAAAACTGTTAGGGACTATTCGTAAAAGGAGGAAAAAGTTAATGATAAGGATCACCGATATGTAAAATGCCCAAATTGTAGATGCTAGTCTTAAATTGGTTATCAACTGTGAAAGGTGAAGAGAAGTTTCCATTAAAAGGAAAAGAAATGTAGGAGCTCTAGGACTTATGTTATGTGAAATTTTCAAATATAAAAGATATTATTTAATGATTCCAAACTCATACAAGATTTACAGTTTTCTATCTTAAAGATTTGATGTTTTGCATCTTGATTTCCATCAAGTTTGTGCTCTTATATCTTGTCTGAGTCCTTTGGCATGACATCATTGTTGTCACTGTATTTATCTTTAAAATGTTTTTTTTAGAAAGTTAACCTTTAATTAATAATATAAGAGAGTTATAAGAACCAAAAAGTATAGGCTATCCATAGGGTGGAAGCTCTATATACAAAAAGCCCCTTCATAATTGGGGGTGAGGGAGTAAAATAAAAAAGCCATCCTTTTAAAAGTTACAATGATGTAGAAGCAAAGTAATCGACAAAAAGAAGCCGATCCAAAACAAAGTAGCTAAGGGCATCCTGCATCGCTGCCTCCTTAGCAAGAGTGTCTGCTTCCTGTTTTGATTCCTGCCAAGTATGCCTCCATAAGACGAGCATATCCCTGCAAAGGTGGTTAATGTCATCAAAAATATGAGCCAAGACCCAAGGAGAGAGAAGGGGGGAGGAGTTTGAATCCCAGGCTATAACATTCTTAATGGAGATTATCCTATGAGGGAGAAGAGGCTTGAACCCCTCATGTAGAGCCGTCGCCTTTGCTTCCATAGAGTCGGCATGACTGATGTTTTTGGAAATGGAAGAGATAGTTTAACCCAAGTGGTCCCTGAGTATAGCACCTATACCCGCAGGGCTGGGGTTCCCCAAAGACCAGCCGTCGAAGTTAAGCTTGAATTGTCTCGGGTCTGGTGGTCTTCAATTGGATGCCCAGGGTAGGTGCTTACGCCTAAAATGAAGAATAGCGTCCCAATCGTGGTAAAAGGCAGAGGGAGGAACCCCTTTGAAACTCTTATGGTTAGTTGCCCAAAACACAACCAAAGACTTAAGCTTGACGAAGTAACTAGACCACGAGGTGTATTCACCCTGGAAAATCCTATTATTGCACTCTATCCAGGCGGCCCAAATAGAGGCCACCACCAAGGATTTCCATAACCAAATTCATGCTTTAGGCCAAGGGAAAGGTTGAAGGGAGTTTAGGCTAAGGGTTTCAGTGGCAGGTAGGACCCACTGACAATTGAAGAGGCGAAGAAGTTCACCCCAAATCTTAAAAGCGAACTGGCAATGCAAAAAAAGGTGGGCATTGCTTTCCTCATTTGCCAAACAAAGGACACAACCATTGGGTAAAGGAATTCCTCTTCTTTGTAGCTGGTCAACCGTGAGTACCCTTTGGGAGAGGGCTAACCACGTAAAAACTTGAATTTTTGGAGGGGAAAAAGAGGACCAAGCTTGGGCTATAGGGGAAGAAGGAGATATGGGGAAAGTGAGCAGTTGGATAAGTTTTTGGTGAAAGGGGGAAACTGTAAATGTACCAGAAGCACACGAAGTCCAAATACTGAGATCCGTACCCTCTGTGGTGATAAAACGACCTTGTAGGGCAGCAGCCATGTTTGAGAAGTGAGTTATTTCAGATTCATTTAGCGCTCTTTTGAAGACTGGGTTCTAAGAACGAGAGGACCCAGCCACAATCATCTCATCTGCCACTGTTGCCCCTTGTGAACAAGCAAGCGAGTAGAGATCTGGGTACCTTTCCATGAGATGTTCTTGACCCGAACCAAAGATCTTGCCAAAAAAGAATTTGACTTACAACTTTTGGGTGAAACCGAATTCACCTTTTGAACAACTGGAAGGAAGAGCACATTGATTTCCAAATCCCTGAAGATCTATTGTTGGTCCTGCAGTTAGGTAACCAGGGGGAGGAGGGGATTTGATATTTGTGCCTGAGGATATCAATCCATAATTGATCGCTTTGGGTGGCTAGTCGTCACTACCACTTTCCAAGTATAGCCGTGTTAATTTTTCCTCAAGTTTCTAATCCCTAGTCTCCCTAGTCTCTTAGGTCGGCAAAGAGTTTCCCAAGAGTTGAGGTGAAATTTCTGGTTCATTGCTTCTTCTAACCAAAAGAACCTGCGAAATAACTGTTCAAGCTGAGAACTCACTGCCATAGGCACGGAAAATTGACATCTGGTAGACGGGATATTTGCTAAGGTGGCTTTAATAAGAGTTAATCTTCCTACTGGTGAAAGGAAACCACCCTCCAAGCACGCGAGTTTTCGGTCCGCCTTGTCGATAATATGTGACCAGGAGCGCTTCTTAGGTTTGCCAATACAAAGGGGCAGTCTGAGATAGTTGGATGGGAGATTATCTGCCTCACAACCCTATATCCGCAAACTCTTTTAAGAGTAGGAGAGTCTACTGCTATCCCCATCATCTTAGACTTACTGAAGTTAACTTTGCACCCCGTGGCAAATTCAAAGCATCAGAGGAACAAGAAAAGGTTGCTGATTTCTTCGGGTGAGGCATTGCAAAAGACAAGGGTGTCATCCACATATTGAAGATGGGTGACGATAGGGCCCTGTCTTCCACAAGAGAAGCCATTCACTACTAGCAGCGAACATCCGGGATATGGACTGACTAAACACTTCTGCTGAGATGGAAAAGAGAAAAGCGGAGAGGGGATCTCCTTGTCTTAATCCCCTAGTAGAGAAGAAAGGTTGGGTATAGCAGGCTTTCATCCAAGACCTCCACCGGCTACCAAAGCCCATTCTTGCAAGAGTTTCTTCTAAATTCCCTGTCAACATGGTCATATGCCTTTTCCCAGTCTAATTTGATTATGAGGCCTAGAACTTCTGCAAGGTGCCTAGAGTGTATGTACTAGGCACTTTAGGCACCTTTAAAATGTTCTAGTGATTACTATTACTTTTGGATCCTTCTCTCATTTTTCTATGATAATTCATTGGGAATGTTTTCTTGTAGTTCATTGGGAATGTTTTCTTCTTGTTATGCCTGTTGTGCTTTCATATGGATATATAGACAATGTTGTTGTTGTTGTGGAAAGGCAGATATCGTAAAATATAATTTTGTAAACAAGGGTACTTATCCAACTTGTGTCATATAAAAAGTATAGAAGCCTTATTTGCTCATTTATGACTTGGTGAAAAAACTTAACACTCAAATTTTATGATTAACACATTGTTGAGAAGTTGTTCGGCTCATGTATTGTGGAATGCCATGTTTATTGCAGGTTTTGAAACATTTTGATGCCATTATACTAAATTTTGTTATTTTTTGGCTTATTTCCTGGAATATCTATTGCATTTTATGTTTCTTGTCCCATTTTATTGTTTCTCTTGAGTTTGGGCAATTGGGATGGTTCTTAAGGTATTGATTATTTCATTTTATAGAAGATTGATCAATTACCTTTTGGTGGAGTGTGTCCCTTCCATACATTCAATGCACTTCTTTCTTCTCTTTTGCATAGGAAGTTTTAGTAGGGAAATGCAATGTCGTCTGCACATCGAAGGATAATCGAAATCCCCAGCCTTCTAAGGAAATCTTGGAAATGGCTGACTATATTTTCTATCGGTTGTTTGATGTTGGGAGCTGTAAAATATCTGAAGACATTGGGGTCAAAGTAGCAGGCATTGAAGGTGAATGGACTTTCTTTACTCTCTCGTTTATATTCTCTCTTTGGCTTCCATATCTTATCAAGAAAATAACATTTGTTTTTATCCTATTTTCTTGGCACATTCATTTGCTCCATGTGCTATAGCTAAGTTCATATTTAATAGGGAAGGAATTCAAAAGCCAAATTCCATCTCTGAGCATGAATCACATGGAAAAGAGGGAATTGGAAAGACTAATCTGTTTAGCCAATCTATGCCTTCGGCATCCAAGCCAGATTCGCAATTTCCAAATGTAGTCCCAGAAGGTGCATCACAAGGAGAGAGGACTAAGCAATTATCACAAGTTTCTAGTGAGCCAAAGTCACACATTTCTCCCAAATTAGAATTTGACAAGAATAGTGTGACTGTGATTGCTATGGAAATGGCTGAAGTTGAATCTAATGGTGGAAAAGGAAAGGTTTCAGAGGTTTCCATCAACGAGAAGAGAAAATTAGTTAAAAATGCTTCGGAACTTGATAAAAGGCCTCCCAAAATGGCAAAGCTTGATGGCAAGATTGATAAACCGAAGCCTAATGTGTCCTCTGCTCCAGCTCTTGACAAGAACAACACAACTGATGGACGGTATATGGAATTGATGAGAAGGCCAGATACTGTAAGTTTATTTCTATTGCCAAGAAGATTAGTTTATCCGTTCCTGCCAGTTTTGCTTATGAGTTTTATCTTTTCGTTCTCATTTTTTTTAGAAACATAACTTCATTTTGAGACTCTTATGAGATGCAATAAAATAGATTATTCTCCGCCCCTTAGAGCAAAGCTGGTCTCATAGCTGTCCAATGGAACTTGCCCTTCAGCTTCATTGGTATATATGTGGCGATCACATAAAATTTCTGTCGCAAATCTCTACTGCGCCCACCTAACTCTAATTTTATGTGCAATATCTTCCCCAATCTCTCCATTTCTAGATTATCGACCCAAGGTATTGAAAATGCGCTCTTTTTGGTATTTTTGATAGTCCATAGTCCATATTGTTATACAATGCTAGAACCATACAAGCATACACATAAGAGTTAGATAGTAGAAACTAGAAAACTATTAAAAAAAAAAAAATAATACAGTCTAGGACTCAAATAGTCAACACCAAGAGTCGAGCGTCTCCAGATCATCATCATCAGGAGTAAGGTAAACCTCATCATATGCATCAGATTTGAGGCCATTATCATCAAAGTCATCTCTCTCTTCAGCATAATGCTTGTCCTCCTCTGTTTCTTCTGAATCTTCCTCTTCCTCCTCATCTTCTACCTCCCTCGTACTCTATGCAGATGAAGCCATAGGAGTCTTGGTTTTTCTACCTGGTTCCTTTTCACCTTTTTCTTTCTTTTTGTGCTTCCCTGAACTCAAATATTGTATAAACCCCTTCCTGGTAGCCCCAGAAACATTTTTACATGGGGCAACATCCCACTTAATACCGACAAGGTGTTTTTCGAACCAGTAAATACCTCCATTAGTATCTTTTCCACAATAATTACACCTAATATGATTTTTGTCATTTGGATTTGGGTTATGACCATACTTCCAACCCGGATCACCACTTCGAGAAGAGCCTGGAGAATTTCTATAGAACAAGGCTTATTTTCTTCCTGTTTTGGTTCTACTAAATTCAAATATTGTCTATTCTCATTCGAATAGCTTCAAGAACCTTTTTACATGAAGCAACATTATCAGTAATGTGTTTCTTGAATCGGTTAATACCCCCTTTGGTATTTTTTTCACAAAAATTAACACCTTATACAGTTTTTATCATTTGGTTTCGGGTTATAACCATACTTCCAACCTGGATCACTTCTTCGAGCAGAACAAAAAATAGACCTATCCAAATGACAAGGATTTTGTTCTTGTTTGTGTTTTACTGAACTCATATATTAGTTAATCTCCTCTCGGATAGCTTCAGGAACATTTTTTCAAGGGGCAACATTCCCCAATACTAGCAAGATGTTTCTTAAACCGGTTTATGCTCAATTTTGTATCATTTTCACAATAATTGCATATTATGCAATTTGTCATTTGGATTCGAGTTATATCCATATTTTCAACCCGGATCACCACTTCGACTAGATCCTGAAGAAGACATCTCAAAATACTAAAAGCAATCTAAAAAATAAAGTTTTGCACGTACTTTGATTGCTCGATCTCCAAACTTCCACCTCGGAGTCCTAAAATCTTCAAAAATACCCTCTCAAAAGCCAAAAAAACTCCAAAACTAAATCTAATCTTAATGGGTGATGTTTGGATCCATTTTCTATAACTTTGAGAAACACTCCGATCCAATGAAAATCACAAAATCTAGTTTTTTTTAGGTTTCTCTTTCTCTCCCTCTAAAATGGGTTCTAGTGGGATTAGGTTTCAAATAAACCTAAAATTCACCTTTAAAAATATTTTTTTTTCCAAAAAAACCCCAAAAAAACCATCAACAAATGGTATTTTCTCCCCTGGGCAGCCGCCCAAGGCTGGGCGCTAGGTACCAGCTACCGCCCTCCTAGTTTGGCCGCCTAGGCCTGAGCAATGCGCCCAAGCCGCGTAGGCGCTGGGCGATCCGCTTTTTAAATCACTAACTCCTATTATTACCGAACTTGCATTCCATATACTCTGTCTTAGTTCGATTAATTTTAAAACCTTTAAATACTATAACATTCTTCCTAAGTTCTAACCTTGTGTTGACCTCGTTTTGGGTCTCATCGATCAAAACTATGTCATCTGCAACAACATGCACCACGATACCTCATCTTGTAGGTGCCTTGTTAAATCGTCTATAACTAGGACAGAGGTATGGGCCCAATGCTGAACCCTGATGGAGACTTATTGCTACTGAAAACTCACTCATCCCTCCACTAGTTGTTCGTACATTAGTTAGCGTTGTATCATACATAACGCTCACCAAGTCGTTGTAGTGTCCAGAGATTCCTTTCTTTTCCAACTCCCACCAAATTAAATCTCGAGGCACTTTACTTTAAGTTTTCTCCAGATCAATAAAGACCATGTGGAGGTTTTTTTTTTTCACCCTAAACTTCTCAATCAGTTGCTTAAGTAGGAAAATAGCCTCGGTTGTTAACCTCCTTAGCATAAAATCGAATTGGTTTTTTGATTCACTGTTTCATGCTTAGTCCTTGCTTAATCACTCTCTCCCAAGGCATCATAGTGTGGCTCATAAGTTTGATCCCTTGATAGTTCGTACAATTATGTATGCCTCCTTTCTGCTTATAAATAGGTAACTTTTCCTCGATTTGTCTAATCGTCTGTAATTTTCTTTGTTCTCAACCAGTGTTTTAAAATGCGGGATACGGTCGAGGGACTGACGCGGCGATGCAGTCCAGATGCGGGCAATGTTTCAAAAAATGGTCCTCCCAACGCCCTAGACCAAAACATCGCACACCTAAACCCAGGTGGCCCAACATAGGCTGATGTACCTAGGCGGGCTAGGCGAGCACCTAGGGACGTGGTTTTTTTTATTTTTTTGTAAGATACCCAAAATGAAAAAGGGAGTTATTTTGACCCGAAAGGGGTTTAAATAGGTTATAGGGATTATTTTCAACCCCTAAAGTTAAAAGAACAATTCCATAAACCCTTAATGCCTTAACTATACCTATTTCTGAGAATCAAACGTATTTTTTGTGGTTTGAAGAAGCTTCCTAAACTTTTTCACTTAGTAATATGGAGAGTTTGAGACTATTACTAGTACATATCCCATTAAACTTTTAAATTTTGTATGGTTTGAATTTTGAAATTTTGAACAAGTTTATTCTCAACATGCGATATGTCATATGTTTGTATATAAAAAAATATGTTACAATAATACAACATTTTCAGATGCAATAAATTACAAAACACACACACACACACACACACATATATATATAGAAGTTGTACTACAGGGTGCCCAAGGTCCTAGGCGCCCACTTGGGCTCTGGGCGCCAGGTGGGCCACCTAGGCGCCACCTAGCGTTTCTTGAAACCTTGGATGCGGGTTCATCACCCCGATGTGGTCAATAAATATCAAAAATTTCAAAAAAAATCTCAAAAAATAGGTTAATGTGTGTAAAAATTATAGAGGTGATTTATATGATAGTAGGTATCTACTTTATTCATTAACTCCAATAGTTTTATTCATTAACTCCAATAGTATTAGCTGTCAGAGAGTCTGTATCCACTATCCGCAGATAGATCATAAAAGACATTAGAAGGTAGAAACTAGAAACGTAAAACTAACTTTATAAAAGACAATAAAACTTAGAGGACATCATATTATCATAATTCATAAACATTCAAAAACCACAATAAGATACAACACAATTTTTGTCGTACGGATTTTGAATTTTGCATATTTTCAAGCCGGATCCTTGTTACTAGAAGACTGTGAAGAAGACATTGCCCCCAAAAAAAGTATTACTGTATTAAGAAATAAAAAATATCGATTACTAGATGGAGCTATCGATATCTTCTCGGCTCTTGAAACCCTTGATATGTTGTCAAATCTGCACTCAAACTTCTTCAAATCAACACCCAAACTAATCTCAATCAACAAGCAAAATCCACCAACACGAAATCAAAATATTTTATCAAAAAAAAATTCCGCAATTTTTTTTAATCGTTTTGATGAAAACAAAACCACATAAGTGGTTGTTTTTGTTGTTTTGGGGGGTTTAATACTCCCTCAAACCCTATTTCCCCCCTTTTGGGTGGAAAATTATGTAAATGCCCCTTTTCGAGAGGTTTTCTTTCATCACGATGATGGGTCGCATATGCGGTGCGATACGCTATGCTGGTGCATTTCACCAAAGCACATCTACGCTATTTTGTGATGCGCCTCTTGGTGCATACCACATGCTGGGGCCACATTTTAAAACACTGTTCTCAACACCTTGTTGAACAGCTTGGTCAGCCAGTCAATGCCAACCTCCCCCATGCACTTCCAATTGGGATATCATTTGGTTCTAAAGCCTTTCCTATTTTCATCCTTTTCAAACCTTCTTGCCCTTTCGATATCGTAATCCTACGAATGTGTGTATGACCTCCGCCCTCATTTATGTCAACGGTTCCTTCTACCGCTATGTTCCCATTATGTTCGCCATTTAATAATTTTTGAAAATAAACTCTCCACCTTTCATTGACCTCTTCATCCTTCACCAAGGCCCTTTGATCCTCACTCTTAATGTATTTACTATGGTCTAGATCCCTATACTTTTTCCCCCTCATTTTTGCTAATTTGGAGACATTTTTTTCGTTTTTTCTTGTTCCCAGTTTACTGTATAGATTATCATATGCTTTAAATTTAGCCTTATTATTTGTTTAGGGTTTTTCTTAGCATTTTTATATTCTTCTAGGTTATTGATCATTTCTATTACATAGCCAAGTTTTATAACATAATCATTTTTCGTTAATGGCCTTCTAAACCTCATCTCTCCAACGCTGTCAAAGTCTAAATTTCTTAACATAATTTTCCTTTTACACTCGTAGGATTTTTGTCGGCCGTTTGGATCCCTAAGTATGAAAAACTCGATTTTCATACTCCACTATCTCAATGAGAAAGTTGTTTAGCCACTTTTTTCTTCCCAAAATAAAATTATTATTTTTTTGATGATAAGCGTTAACATTTGTATTG